ACACTTAGCAGCCTGTCTCAGGACCATCGGCACAATGCTAGGATGTCTAAACCTGTGGCCTTGAGAATATCTGCTCTTGACCAAAGCCTGCAGAGAAGTTGCCTGCTCAGGCCTCTACTGCTAAGTGCCTCACCACTGTGGGCACAGTGCCAGCGCTCTGTGGCGTGGCTACTGTCTGGAGACCGTCACTCTACAGTGGAAGAGACTTCCTCAGTGGCCCAGTTACACCCCATGCCGGGTAAACAGAGCTTACCCAAGTAAGCAGGTGACCCATCTAGTGGGTTCCAGTTTCAAATGGAAGTCTTAAAAACCCGAGGTGGGCTGGGGATGTAGCTCAGCTGGTAGAGTGTCTGCCCAGCATTCACGAAGCCCTGAGTTCGATCCTCAGCAGTGCATAAACCGTAGGTGATGACCTCATCTGAAGTCCAAGCACTTGGGAGGCAGAGGCAGGAAGAGCAGGAGTTTCAAGTCATGCTTGGCTCCATAGTGAGTTCAAGGCCAGCCTATGCTACATAAGACCCTCTCTCAAAGACAGACGAGCCCCAACTCCCCACCACCCAAGGCATGAAAGTGTAGAGAAAGCTTGTTTTTTACAGCACCCCTGTAGCATGAATCTTAAAGAGTCTTATTAATAAAATCAAATCCAGGGCCAGGTATTATTCCAGGTGGATGCTGGAAGATCAGAGAAGTAGAACAAACCACAGCCACCTCGCCTCACCAGTTCCTCAGCTGATCCCGTTTCCTCAGACTGGAAGCCTCTGTGTCCTCATCCAAATGGATCTCAGCTGAACTGCTGCTAGAAGCCTAAAAGCTTAACCAGCTCTAATTCCTGGTCCTCACGCCTTATATACCTTTCTGCTTTCAGCCATCACTTCCTGGGATTAAAGGCATGAGTCACCATGCCTGATTATTTCCAGTGTGGCCTTGAACTCACAGAGATCCGGATGGATCTCTGCCTCCCAAATGATAGGATTAAAGGCGTGTGTGCCACCATTTTCTGTCCTCTGTGTCTAGTGGCTGTTCTGTTCTCTGACCCCAGATAAGTTTATTAGGGTGCACAATATTTTGGGGAACACTATCACCACACACTCCCTCTAACATTACAAGAAAAATGATTACAGAATGTGAAAACTTCCAAGTCACTAGGATGTAAAGGTTTACAAATCTTTTTAAAAAAAGATTTATTTTATGTATGAATACTTACATGACATTTGTGCATCATTGTGGATCAGTGCCTACAGAGGCCAGAAGAGAGCATCAGATCCCTTGGAACTGGAGTTACAGGTGGTTGTGAGCCCTCATGTGGGTATCAGGAACTGAACTCAGGTTCTCTGCAAGAGCAGCCAGTGCTCTTAACCGCTGAGCCGTCTCTTCTGCTTCTTGTTACGGGCTCCGTTTTAATGACTTTCCTGGGTAAATTGCGCAGGAGGTACCAGACCTGAAACTACTTTAAAAGAGATAGCTTGGGCTGGTTTGATTCGTGCCAGATTCCTAGTACAACACAGTCTTCTTCAACAGAAGGGAGAGAAGACATTCTTTTTCCGAGCTGTGGAATCCGGTGGCATGTTCAGCTGTTGGCAACGGTCTGTGAAGGTCAGAGCAGGCTCTGCTGTTGTTCTCTGTCTAATCCCTTTCCCCATCTGTATCGAGGGGAAGACATCGGACTCAAGTGCTGCCAGCCGGTCTCCCAGCCGCACTCTGGAGGGTCATTGCCTTCAAAAATGGAGGCAAGCAAAGCGTCAGAGCTGAGCGGGATCCGAAAAACACACAGATTAGTTCACAGGGGAAACCTTAGCAAGGCTCCAAAGCAGAGAATCTCCTTAGAAGATGAGACACTTCAGTTTTTATTTGTGTCCAAAGGCAGACTTGGGGGTGCTTTTCTGGTCAAACAGTCAATTATACCTTTTTCTATACAAATTTGGTGATATGATTGAAAGTCTGATTTATGTGGGTTTTGTTGTTGTTTTTGTTGTTGTTGTTCAAGTCTCACCTGTCCATCCATCCGTCTGCCCATCCACCCACCTATTGAGGATACATTGGTGCTGTTTTCAATCATGGATTTAGACCATCCGCAGCAAGCCAGTTCTGTCTTACTGTGTGTGTGTGTGGATATACATGTACAGATTTGGACCGTACAGGCTCCTGTGCTGTGCCGGTTCAGACCCCCGTTCACAAGTTTGTGTGTCTTCTCTAAAAGCAGCTGTGTACATGAACAACCCAGAAAGGTCATAGCAGATCTTTCTGTGTCAGCGTTCCATGACTATACCAGCAGACTGGAGATAATGAACTTAAGGGGAAGATGAGCTTTATTCGGCTCGGCGTTTTGACACTTTTGGTCCATGCTTGGTTGGCCCTGTTGGCTTGGGCTTGTCGTGAGGCCAGAGTGTGCGGTGGGGCAGAACCACTCACCTCATGTCTAGGAAACAGAAAAGAAAGAGACTGGGGAGAGGAGCAGAAGAGATGGAGATCCCATCATCCTTTGTAAAGGCATGTGTCCAGCAACTTGAGAGCCCCTCCTGGGCCCCAGCCCCAAAAGTTTGCAGTATCACCACCTCCCACCTGAGCTGGGGCCTTGAGAGAAAGCATCCAAACTATAACTACAGTTTACAAAACACATTACTAATAAAATACATATTCTTACTTGCACAAAAATGTTCAGAAAGGGGCTAGAGAGCTGGTTCAGGGACTAATCAATCGTGCGCACTGCTCATCCAGGGGGCCCAAGTTCAGTTCCCAGCACCCATACTGGGTCACTCAGAACTGCCTGTAACGCCAGCTCCAGGGGATCTGACACTCTCTTCTGGCATGCACGTACCCAGGCACAGACATGTAATTACAAACAGAACAAAAATTTAAAACTGTTCAGAGAATGCTCTGGAATTTTTTTTTTTTTTTTTTTTTTTTTTTTTTTTTTTTTTTTTTTT